GGAGGAGGAGGAGGAGGAGGAGGAGGAGGAGGAGGAAATAGGATTGGGGCCACTATTTGTGAAAGAGAACCTAGAGATATTTTGTTGTCTCTTCTAGATATTTATTGTTTTTGGTATATTGTTAGAACTCAGACTATTAATTTCACTCACTTAATTGTGCCTAAAGTGATCACACAGAGAGATTGTATATATTTCCTCTCTTGAAATGACAGAAAATCAACATGCTAATTTTTAATAATTACAGTCAGAAGAGACTTGGGAATCCTACAAATAATGGGGAGGGGGACATTAATTGCTTACTTCTGCAGTAAGCCATAGTTTGTGCAGCACAACAGAAGTTTACCTAGTGCTAATTCCAACAAACCATTTTATGGGTTACCACCATGTAGCTATCCAGCCATTAGAAAAAATATATTTCTTTCTTTTTACTTCATTGAGTAACACACACAATATTGTGTGTGTGATATTGAGGGAAGACAAAATTATTAACCATGTGTCCATGCTAATCACGTTATTGCATGGTTATTCCAATAACAGCTGCAGAGATGCAGCAGACTCAACAACTGTGACTGTGTTGAATATTTTTTTTTTTCTAGAAAGGATTTTTTCCCTGGAAAACTTGTACTTTTTCAAAACTTTTTCAAACGCCCTTAGGCCATTTTATTCTTAATTTTCAAAATGTACACATTTTTATTTTACATACATATACATATATACATACACACAGTTCAACCATTTTTGTAACAATATATCTATGTGGGGTCTTTTTCTCCAGAAGAGTTAACCAAGAAATTCTACTGATTCTATGTTTACTGTCTTTTAAGTTTTGAAATAGATTATTAAGGTGAATCTAAAACAAATGCTGAAGCTAACTGCTCAAAATATGCTTTTTAAACATTGATGAAACTAACCGCTGAAATGATTTCTAAAAATCAAATGTCAGAACGAACTGCTGAACTATATCACGGTGAAATAATAATGTCCTGGAAACCTTTTTCTAATCAGTTTTAGTCAATCTGCCATATACAGCGTAACTTATGACCTGAAGAGAACACGTCCTAATGTCTTGTTCCAAGAATTATTGAGTTTGGATTGCATCGACTTCTGCACAAACAGCCCAGCAATGGTATTAATCAAGGAGAGTAGACCATCACAAAAATATTTTGATGGCAAGTGAGGAGAGCGCAAAGTAGGTGAGTCCAGGAGGGTGTGCTGTTATTTTGTTAACAAGGGATAGGAAGGGAAAGGATATAAGCTCCTTGTGATCGAGCGAGTGTCCCCTTTATCTTTGCCACCTCTCCAAGGTGGCTTTTTCTCCTTAGGACCTCCTGGCAGGCAGAATTTGGCAGAAATTCACAGGGCTCTGTGAATTCACACCGTGTTTCTGTGACGTCAGCTCTGTCCCTGAAAAGTATTTTCTTTATGATGTAGAAAAACAAAAGCATTCTGCTTCTATAGCTTTATATTTTTTTTATTTGTTTGGAAACTAGTTCAGTCAACAAGAGTAGTGAATGTGCAAACCAATCCTCCTGGATCTATTTAATGCATTTTGTCTTTCTGCATTTATTTTAGATCAAAATACAATCATTGGTGTACCAACCTTAGTTCATAAACTCCTATCGGCACCACTCAGCTATCCTCTCCTTATTCTCCAGACTCAAATGTCAATTTTTATCAAAAAATTTTTTTTACAGCGGATACCAAACAATCCCTCCACCCCCCAAATTCAAAAAGGTGCCCCTTCTGCAATATTTCCAGTTATATGGGTTGGTCAGGGATGTTTTTTAAAACATTGGAGTGACCAGTTTTCCTTCTCTTCCCTCTTTCTTTTTTCTTTTTTCTTCCATTATGTTGTAATTTTCATATATTTTTATCTTCAAAATGATAGTAACTATGGATTTTCAGTAGTTGTAACTGGAATTGCCAAAAGTTGCTCCCAAATCACAGAAATGGTTTCAAAATAAACAGTCTAAGACTATGGAACAAGATTTAGATTATCTGTCCTTATTATGCCATTGCTTATAATTTGTTTGTAAGCCCAGTTTAAAATGTTGCTGCGGACATTTAAACATGAACATCTTGAGACCGATGTGTTTATATGAAGAGCCTAGGATAACATGGTGAGGCACTCTCCAGAGGCTCCTAAGTGAATTATGATATATAACGGTGTAACAACCATGAATTAATTAATTAGGAACAGCAACAACAGTGTGATGTAGGTTGTAAATATACCCCATGTTAACTGAGCAGCCAAATCAGAATCCTCACTAGTTCTCTCTTAGTGCTGACAAATGGACCTTGGAACATAAGCCTTGAATAAACCTTATTCAAGGGTAGCATGGCTATCTAAAAATTGAGAAGGGCAATCTAATTCAATCGCCTGCCTGGGTGACTGTAGTACCCAGGACAGATGGCCACCCAATATCTTTTAAAACCCTTCAGTGAAAGAATCTACAATTTCTCAGGCAAAGTGGCCCATTGCTGTTTCATTTGCCATTAGAAAAATCTTAATAATTTGAACTCCTTATTTCTTACATCCTCTTGTAGAATGAAACCCATAAGCCTTCCCCCTTTTCTGCATTTCAGCCCTTCAAATACTTGAGGGAAGCTATTATGTTGCCCCATAATTTTATTTTTTGTAAACTAAACATACTCGGTGACTCCAACCATTTCTCATACCTATTTCCCTGAAGTCCGTTAACATCATAATTGCTTTCTTCTGTACATTCAGTTCATCAATATTCTTACAAAAATGGAGTGCTCAGAACTAAATGTAATATTCTTGGAATGGCCAGATCAACAGACCATAAAGTGGAATTATGACATTTGATCTTGACCCAGTCCAAGACTTTACAGTTGTTTTAAAACTTGTAAGTTTTAGTTGCCATATCATGAAGTAGTGGAAATTACATTTGTTGCTCAGTACAGCAACTGGTCTATAACCTGGTTCAAGTGATAGAGAATAGTGAAAGAAAATATTCACTGATTGGCCACTTAGATTTCAGACTTAATACTGCGTTCATTGTTAACCCTAGAACCTTTGTCTATCTAAGGGACATTTTTGGCAATTTGTTTAGCTGCTAATCAGATCTGTGGGACCTCAGTTTCTGGCAATAGAGGGGGAGAGAATCTCCAGGATTGGGGACATAGTTATGAAATGCAGGCATCTCGTTGTAAAGTTTCTTGGTCTTTTAATAGTTGATTGGTTTTAGTACTACGTTTACAAATCAATGCATACTCTATTGTACACTTCAAATTTTATTAGCTACTTGAAGTCCTCACCAACATAATAAAACAAAGCAGAATGCAAATATATGAATATGCCAACCCAAAAATAAGCAGCTTTTGTTCTTTCTGAACTTTGGTTGAGCCACTTAGTGTTCTTCAGATATCTGCCAAAAAGAATAGAAAGAAAGAAGAGAAAAAAGAAAACAAATATGAAGAAAGAAGAGGCATGCTGAATCTTGCCTCCGTATTTCCTAACTTTAAATTGATAGGAAAGATTTGTGACAATCTAGATTGCACAAAACACCAGACCATGGTGGGATTGTAGTCAAATCGCGACCTGATGGACAACATTCCTCCAGGTCTTCCTGTCCTCTACCATCTTCTGGAGTCTAATTAAGCTCATGCTGACTGCTTCAGTGACTCCATCCAGCCACCTCATTCCCTGTCGTCTCCTTCTTCTTTTGCCCTCAATCTTTCCCAGCATTAGGCTCTTCTCCAGTGAGTCCTTCCTTCTCATTAAGTGGCCAAAGTCAGAAAGAGATATGGTTCTCCAATTAATTAGGAGACATTTCCTAATGGAAAGGGTTATCAGCCAGTGGAACAGGTTGATTCAGAATGTGGTGAGTTCTCTCTCATTGGAGGTCTTCAAAACCTAGGCTAGATAGCCATCTGTCCAAAACCATTTATCCAAGCAGGAAATGTAGATGAGCTGTGATATCTCTTCAACCTCTAGGTTTCTGTGCTGTTGCCTTCAACAATTTAAATAGATAGGTAGACTATCTAAAGTCATCTATGTGACAGTTAACTATTAGTTGTAGCCATTCCCCTCACAGGCAGTAGAAAAGAATATGGCTTAGATTAGATAGAGGAAACAACTAAAAAAAGAATGTCCTTAAACTTGAAATAGTACCATTTATAATATATTTTATTATGATAACCTAGAAAAATCCTCATAACTTACACTGCTTAATAAATACTAAAAAAATTGACAACATATGAGGGACCTCATAAAAATCTTTTGTTACATTTTTTTGTTTTTTGCTTTTTGAAAAAATCAACCTAATGGTAATCAAAGCATAAGTGGCTGTACCCAAGAAAAAAAATTAAGGCCGGCTTGTGGCAGAGTTAGTATGCAGCAGTAGTAGCTAGTCTTTTTCAAAATCATCTAAATTGTCAGCCACAACCACATCTAATTGCATTGTATGCCACAATGTAATATGTTGTTTTTTATAACAAAATTCTGTGTTTAGTTTCAATGGTTGACTTGTTATAGTGGAAGAAAAGCTTATATCGTATACTTTTCTGTTGTGTTCTTGGATCCCACTCCTTTGACTTAAAGTAAAAATCACCACATGATTTAGGCCTTCCTTGTGTGGGAGCTTCTGTAACTCCCCAGTCATTCTACTTGCTCTTTTCTATGTAAAATTAAAATGCAAGAGGGTACGGTTACATGGAAATGGAAGGGGAAAGAATGGACTATGACAATTGATTCAGAATTTTAAAATATGTCAAATGATTGGGATTGGCTTTTAGAGCAGCAAGGATTGGTTGCATCTTATCACTTAGCTATCACTTAGAAGAGATGAAAAAGACTTGACATTTAAAACTTGTCAAAAATTTAAGGGGAATTTAAGGAAGGACTTCCTAATGTTGACTGCCTTGTGATTCGCTATTTCTCCCAACTCCCAAATTGGAGGTCATATGGTAAGTCACGTGGATTTCTGGTTGGTCATTGCTTTTAATATTCAGTGTATCTTCCACAATAATTTACCAATGAGGACCAAAAATTTTACGGTATAAGGTAAAGAGAAATCAAGAGGATGTTTCATTTAAGGGGGGAAATTAACATTAATGAAATAGAAGAGTAGGACCAGACTGTTCTACCTCACTAATGTACAGCCTCTTAGTCACAAAACTCACTTTTGACCAATACTAGGCGTATTCACAGAGGGTCTTTAGCCAGGGCTTCTTTTACAACCCTTCGTCAAATAAGTTGGGTTCTCTGGGTTAATTTCCATTATGTCTTAAAGCATGGATTTTAAACCATAGTGGTCTGCTTCACATATCTTTCTGGGGCTTAAGGCAGAATGCAAAATGGGAGAAAAAGAACTGATATAATGGGATAAATTAAATCTATGTAAAAATTTCACTCTCCTGGATCTTCTCTTTAAAAATTCAGAAATGTTGACTCTAATCAGCTTGTAAAATAATGAAATCCAAATATATCAATCTGGGAGGAAAAGGAGTGATAACACTGGAATACCATGATTTCCAACCTGATAAATTTAAATGACAACATCTGAGCCATTGCTCTGTCTATTCCCAGGCTTCTCCTTGTTTCTCTTAGCCTGGCATCGGAAATAGAAATTAGCCCCATAAATTTGCCATGGACAAAGTTGCATATACATTTAGAGATGCCCTGTTGAATTGTGACTTTTGAGGATGCCAGTTAAATCTTTTCCCTTTCTCACCACCTGGATCATTTCAAAACCAAAAGGGAAGAAAAGATGCTGTCAACATTTTAAATGAAGATTCAGCTACACTATCATTGCCATCCAAGAACTGGTCCTAGCTAGAAAGGTGTCCTATCATAGAACAAAACATGGTTTTAATTTATATAATGAAGAATTGAATCAGTTTGGTACAGTGGTAACAAAATGCAGCAAAGGTCCTGATATCCCAACTAAAACAGACCTGGGTAGATAAATGTTTATGGTAATTCTCTGTCATCCAGGTCATGACTGTCCCAAAGGTGTTTTCAAAAGGCAACTGTACCTTCAGAGTACTAACAACCAGATGTCTTCAAAGAATATGAATCTTTCATTGCCCACCATTCAGTTGAAATTGCAGAAGCTTATTGAAAGAAAGAAATGTCTTTGAAGATGCAACATTATTTTTTTTGATGCAACATTAATTTTATTTGCATAGCTTGGTGCTGTGATTTGGATCAAAATGATGAGAGGGAAGACAGTCAATCATTTGCAATGCTTGAGGTTTCTGCTACCTCCCTTATGTACCTCCCATCTGGACTGTTTCAAGAGGTATCACCAGAGGGTACGGTTACCTTGTAATACCACATTATGCACAAACACACCATTTGTTGTCAAGGTACTATTTTCATTATAATTAACAGTCTTTGAGAATGTATAGCAAAGTATATTTAGAGGTGAGGAAACATGTATCAACCATTAACAGCAGAAAAAAGCCACATCATTAAGTGCTGTGTCATCACTAATGCCCTGTGCATCCTCCACCCTTGTTTTCATCCCACATATGCCAATTGAGCAGCGATCGCTCCAGGGGCCAAATTTACCCCATTTAGTGCCAAAGCCTATCAGGTTAGCACCGCTACTGCATTTGAACCCAATGTTGTTTACTGCTGTATCATCAAGTATTTTTTGATGTGGTTCCACTCTCAGGGCAAAAGTAACCAGATAACCTCCAGGGCAGAGTCTTTTTCTGGTCCAGGTTCCCCACCTGCCAAAAAAGACAATGATACATAACCATCTCTTCAGTGTCTAAATTAAACATTTGTCATCAGTCCAAGAAATTCAGGCACAATGGCTAAACTCTTGAGCTAAGAATCAAGCAAATATCTAGTTTTTGCTTTTGTTACATAATTCTGGGTCAAAATTTGATAGTAAACCTAATTCTTTGGTGCTAACGTAGGGGAAAAAATGGAGGAAAGGGGTCTTTTGGCAGCTAGCATAAACCGCTAGGATTCTTCTCTTGATCTTTTCCCCAAGACTTCTCCTAATTCATGTCATGTTCAAACTCCAATATAGCAGAGACTTCTCATATTGCAAATCGTCTTGCGCTATTCTAAGCACCATTTCCCCTGCTTTTTTCCTTCTATTACTCTTGAATGAAAGAATTATCCACTAGTGAAGAAGTGAGTCATTATTCAGCTCGCAAGTTCCCTGTGGAAATTCAGTGCCTCATCTTCGTATTGGAAGTCTGAGTTCTATCTTAGTTTCCCTTGTTACTTTAAACATGGTGTTCCACAGGAAAACAGAGTTCTTCTTCTGGCTGCCATGTGGTCCTTTCCCATGTTTTATTTGGGGAGAAAGGATTGTGCAATTAAAAAAAGTTGAAAGAACATCTCTTATGTCCAATGCTGCCCTAATCCTGATTTGGGGCATTTTGACTGCTGACATCTTCATTTGCAATTGATCAAATTAAATTATCTGATAAATAGATAAAAGGTATTGCAAACGATATATAGTTACTGTTGACCGGGACTCTCGAGAAAGCCTAGAAGGTGGGTACATGCAGATTATCCCTACAGATTTCTTAAATCATGGAAAGTCATCAGGGGAACACACAATGTGCTGAGACACCCAAGAACACCCAGTGCTCTTAGGAAACCACCCCAAACTACAAGAAGTATCAAGAATATCTCTAGTTAATTTTGTTTTAGTGTATCTATCATGTACCAGCCTAGTTATCTATTGAGTACCAGCCTTTCTGGGTGACATTTTTATCCCTTGTGTGCCAGCTTTGTTGGGTGGGTTGCGTATGTTACAAAAAGTATAAAGCCAGCATTTAGTGTTACTTGGGTTTTCTTTTCTTTTAAGGAGCCCATCGTTGTTCAGCTGAATGAACACAAGCTTCAAGGCACCCTCTGGTCTCTTTATATTTTCAAAACCATACCTCAGAATCCGCAGAACATGTTCATCATTCTTTAATCATTATCTTTGTTTAACAACCCCATAATCCCTTGCGGGGTAGAATCTCGGCAACTGAATGGACCTAGCGGAGTGTTTACTGGCCGGATGCCCTTCCTGACACCAAAGTGGATATTTATTTAATAGATATATTCTCTTTGTGCCCATACAGAGAAATATCTGCCTCTACCTGGGATCAAACTCACAGCCTTCTGATTGTGAGGTGAGTGTTCCACCTCTAGGCCACTCCTTTCATCATTCTTTACTACACCAACAAAAATTAGTATAGTGACAGAATAGCCTGGAATTTGATTTTGAAGAGCTGTGTCAAGGATTCGAGTATATGACATTCATAGCAACCACACTCTTGTTCTTCATTAACAGCATTTACACATGTAGCACAACATTGCAGTCTTTGTCTCCTCACAAAGAGAGTTATAGGGAAGGCAAATAGAGCCATGAAGTGCACAATGGGAGAAGTATGAGGGAGACTAAAGTCAACAATGGGTCTTGTTGGAGTAAATGCATGCTGGGAAGAACAATGTAAGGGAGCAAAAGAGATACACTTACTATGGCCCACAAAGTATTAGTTACACCACTGCACAACTCAGGAATACAAAAGAGTATAAATAAAAATAAAAGGAATACAAAAGAATACAAAAGAGACCCCAGCCTAGTTGAAAATTACAGGCCAATTTCTTTATGCTGCATCACCTGTAAAGTCATGGAATCAATTATTAACGAATCCATCATCCTCCACTTAGAGACAAACAACCGACTCTCTAATAAACAATTTGGTTTCAGAAAAAAAAATATCCTGTAATCTGCAACTCTTACACTGCAAAAACATATGGACTATACAACTCGATCAGGGCAAAGCAACAGACACAATCTACATAGACTTCTGTAAAGCCTTTGATTCAGTGGTACACGACAAACTACTACTAAAACTAAAATCTTGTGGTATCTCTGGACACCTACATAACTGGATGGAAGCATTCCTGTCAAACAGACAACAAATGGTCAAAATTGGGAGCGTCCTATCAAATTCTGTACCTGTCAACAGTGGTGTCCCCCAAGGCAGCATTTTAAAACCAACTCTCATCATACTCTACATAAATGACCTCTGTGATCATATTAAGAGCAACTATGTTCTCTTTGCTGTAAAGCTATACAACACCACAGACAATACTATTACCCTCCAAAAAGACCTTGACTATGTATCAGAATGGTCAATCAAATGGCAACTTCAAACCTCAACAAATGAATGCTCTGTCTTACATATTGGCAAAAAAAATCAGAAAATAAAATATAAGCTGAATAGTCAAGACCTTGTTGATGATCCAAACTCTGTCAAGGATCTTGGAGTACTCATCTCTAATGATCTAAGTGCTAGAGCCCACTGTAACTACATAGCCAAAAAGGCATTAAGAGTTATTAACCTAATCCTATGTAGCTTCTTCTCTGGTAATAACACACTACTAATTAGAGCATACAAAATATTTGCTAGACCTATACTTGAATACAGCTCATCAGTCTGGAACCCATATCATGTATCTGATATTAACACAGTTGAGAAAGTCCAGAAATATTTCACAAGAAGAGTTCTCTGCTCCTCTACTCATTGCAGAATACCTTATGCCACCAGATTTGAAAGTCTAGATCTTAACTCATTCTTTGCATCCATCTTCACGCAAAAAGAAACTATAGCTCAACCCACCAAAAACATAACTGTAAAAGACAGACCAGAAATAAAAGTTAAAATAAGCAAAAATATAGTAAGATAACACCTGTCTAATCTTGATGAAAAGAGATCACCGGGGCCTGATGGATTACATCCTAGAGTTTTAAAGGAGCTGGCAGAGGTCATCTCAGAACCACTGCACTATATCTTTCAAAAATCCTGAAGCACTGGGGAACTACCAGAGGACTGGAAAATAGCTGATGTGGTTCCCATCTTCAAAAAAGGAGAGAAAAAAACAGACCCAGGAAATTCTAGACCAATCAGCCTAACATCAATACCTGGGAGGATACTGGAAAAGATAATAAAAAAACAGATCTGCCAACATCTAGAAACAAGTAAAGTAATAACTAGCAGTCAGCACGGGTTTGTTAAAAACAGATCATACCAAACCAATCTTATTTCATTCTTCAAGACAGTGACTAAATTAGTAGACCAGCAAAATACTGTGGACATAATATATTTAGATTTCAGCAAAGCATTTGACAAAGTAGACCACAACCTACTTCTTAGTAAGCTAGAAAAAGTGGAATAGATAGCACCACCACTAGATGGACTCGCAATTGGCTGGCAAACCGTACTCAGCGAGTAGTCCTTAATGCGTCTAAGTCTACATGGAGGGAAGTAAGCAGTGGGGTGCCACAAGGTTCAATCTTGGACCCAGTACTCTTCAATATCTTCATTAATGACTTAGATGAGAGAATAGAAGGAGAACTTATCAAATTTGCAGATGATACTAAGCTGGCAGGAATAGCTAACACCCAAGAAGATAGGCTCAAGATCCAGATGGATCTTGATAGACTAAGAACACTGGGCTGTATCTAACAAAATGAAATTCAATGTAGAGAAAAGTAAAGTCCTACACTTAGGCAAGAAAACCCACAAGTACACATATAGACTGGGTGAAACCAGGCTCAATAGCAGTAGCTGCGGGAGGGATCTTAGAGTCTTAGTGGACAACCAGCTAAATATGAGTCAGCAGTGTGCAGCAGCTGCCAAAAAAGCGAATGCAATCCTAATTTCTATTAACAGAGGGATACAGTCAAGATCAAGGGAAGTACTAATACCACTCTATAAAGCCTTAGTAAGACCACACCTAGAGTAGTGGGTCCAGTTTTGGTCACCACATTATAAAAAAGATGTTGAGACTCTAGAAAAAGTACAGAGAAGATCAACCAGGATGATTAGGGGACTGGAGACTAAAACATATGAAGAATGGTTATAGGAACTGGGCCTGGCTAGTCTAGTAAAGAGAAGGACTGGGGAGACATGATAGCGGTCTTCCAATATTTGAGGGGCTGCCACAGAGAGGAAGGAGTCAAGCTATTTTCCAAGGCACCCGAAGGGCAGACAAGGAATAACGGATGGAAACTGAAGAAGGAGAGATTTAACCTGGAAATAAGGAGAAACTTTCTGACAGTGAGAACAATCAACCAATGGAACAGCTTGCCCTCGGAAGTTGTGGGAGCACCATCACTTGAGACTTTCAAGAAGAGATTGGACTGCCATTTGTCAGAAATGGTGTAGGGTCTCCTGCTTGGAGACTAGATGACCTACAAGGTCCCTTCCAACTCTGATTATCTGTTATCTGTTAGAAAACCTAGAACTATGCCACCTTCAGTCCTATCTAAATATAGTATATAAAATCATACATTGCAATGTCCTACCTGTAAATGAATACTTCAGCTTCAACCATAACAATACAAGAGCACACAATAGATACAAACTCAAGGTTAACTGCACCAAACTTGATTGCAGAAAATACGACTTCAGCAACAGAGTGGTCAATGTCTGGAATACTCTACCTGACTTTGTGGTTTCTTCCCCAAACCCCAAAAACTTTAACCTTAGACTGTCTACTATCGACCTCACCCCTTTCCTAAGAGGCCTGTAGGGGGCATGCATAAGCGCATCAATTGTGCCTACTGTCCCTGTCCTATTGTTGTTGTTGTTGTTTCTTATACGTATCCATCTCATGTATTCAAAACTATGTTTATACTTATACCTGTTATCTTGTAAGCGATTGGCAAATCAAATAAATAAATAGTAAATAAATAAATAAATAGCATCAGCAGTTCATTCAGAGAGGTGATCTCCTTCCCCAGTCTTCATGACAACAAAATGAAATATAATAAGAAAACCAGCTACTCACGGTCCAGCTCTAGACTCAATTACTGTGCTATCATTACAGTACAAGCGGATTCCATTCAGAGCTGTATTGTCTCCTAGCAGTTGGCGTTTTTCCACCTAAGAAAATATGACCTTGTTAAAGTTCTAGATCAGCCTTTTTCTCCTTGCTGTCCTTCAGACTTCAATTCTCACAAATGCCAACATTTACCCTTAAGTATTAGACAATGTTAATAATAATAATGAATAAGTATTAACAATAATTTTACTATTAATAATAAGTTAATAATAATAATTAATATTAAGTGTTAGACAAAGTTCAAAGGCACATAAAAATGCAAGAAAAATAGGAACGACTTTGGTAGGAAGCTAACAGTGTTCCATGCGCCTTCAGCATTTAGTCATGTTGGCCACATGACCACGGAGACGTCTTCGCACAGTGCTGGCTCTTCGGCTTCAAAACAGAGATGATCTCTGCCCACTAGAGCTGGAAACACCTACCATGCATGTGTGAGGGGAACCTTTACCTTTACTTTATTAGACAATGAATTGGATGAAGATTAGATCTGCTGCACAATATTCCACTCCAAACTCAATGCATTCCTTTAATTATAGAATCAAAAGTACAAAGCATCAACACAATTGCTTCTAGATTGCATTTCTTGGCAGATAAGCTGAAGGCTAATTTGCAAGAGAATATTTAGAAGTAAAGGAGCATCAGAAAAGTAAACTTTTACCTTCAGGGAGAAGCCATTAGCATAGCCATAAGAGCAAAATGAATCTGGACCCCATTCACCCCAGGTACCCCCATTTGGCACACTGAGCACAGAAGAAAACGTTCGTGGTTCGGTCTTCCACACGCAGCAGGAGATAGTCAAGAGAAGAGTGATGCTGGCAGAGAGATCCATGGAAAGCACTCTGCTTCTTGAAACAGAAAAGTCTTCAGATATTGCAACGTCCTAGAAACCAGAAATCAGTCATAAACTATCTGCAATATCATGCTCATGAAATCATGCTTTTCAATTCTTTTGTTTTGTGTCTTTGCATCACCCTGAATTCCAGGGAAGTGCCTGGATTTGATCTTACAGTTTTCTTGGAAAGATTTTAGAAATGGTTTCTCGCTGCCTTCTTATTCCTAGAGCTGAGATAGCGGGACCAACCCAGTTGGCTTTCTACCTAAGATATGACTAGAGCCAGGGGTGGGATCCGACAAGGTTAACTACCATTTACGAGGTTCGGTGATTTACGATGTGCTTCCCTGCATGCTGCCAGCATGCGCCTGTAAATTGTCATCAGCATGCTGCATGCAGAAAAGCCCTTTTTTCCTGCTTTTTAAACTGCAGCTGTGCCTCGCACGGCCTCTGAACTTGAAAAAATCAGGAAATAAAGGTCAGGTAAGAGCCCAGGTGGGCGGGTGAGCAAAAACATAAGTAGACATGGAACCGGTTCTATATCTGCTCCTCTTCAAAGCTACCAGTTCTACAGAGGTGGACAGAACCGGTAGAAACTCACCCCTGACTAGAGCACCAGTCAGTCAACAGCCTGCTGTCTTAACTGAATCTTCACAATTAGCAACTTAGAGGGTTTTTGGGTTATAGCAAGAAACCAGAACAATAAACTCAAATGCATAATTTTCTTAATCTTACAGAAATTTTAATTCCTACAAAATCAGTCTGAGTTGCTGAGCTGAGACTGAGAAAGCTATGCCAAGAAACAATTTGTATTATTTCCATAATTTGTACAATTTGTTGCAAGCCAAAATGCATTCCATCCTTTCTGTTTATCTCCTCCACGTTGCCTATACTGGAAATTTCAGACACTAAAAGTAACGAAAAGATGTAATTAGACAAATGATCTAACTTTGATATCTGATTTTTAGGAACAAACAGAATCTAACTTTGGAATGAGAGATGAAAGCAGGCTGGTAATGAAGGAGGGAATTTATATATAACATTAGCATATGACATGTAACATATTACAAAATATAGTATTCATACTAAACATCACAATAAATAACCCCCAAAAGTAGTAAATATATAATCACTGGATGATTTTGAAACAGTCCCTCTCACCTCAAGTTTCCTGCCAAGACAGTTGGAAAAAAAATGAGGAATGAGCTCCTGAATAGAATGGGTAAAAATAAATAAATAAGTACTTTGCCTGACCCCTTTAACTGAGTAAATCCTGCTTTTGGACTCTATGAAAATGCCTAGAACTTCTAGAAGGCCAGTTTACTTTCTGACATGTGGGTTTTATTGGGATTGGTCTTGTCCGACTTTGTACATAGGGCAGATTGCCAAGCCAGTCATTTTGCAAGTGTGCCTGTTAAATGTTTTCAACATTCCAAATTCGCACACGCACATAAAGATTGTCTCTTGCTCCCTTAATGTTGCTTTTATCCTTTCTTACTCTGTAGCTTTTCTCTTTCACATTCCATAGACTCTTTAGCCTTGTCTTTTTCTTTGCCTTAAGTTCTTAGTCTCTCCCTTTTTGCTTTTGCTTTTTCTTTGCGTTAAGTTTGCAGTCTCTCCCTCTTTCTGAAATGTGAAAGGCATCTCTCGCTTTTGTGTTCACACTAATATTTAGAGCAAGAACAGTTATCCATATTCCATTAGAACCACCTGTATTTTCTACTCTTCCAAACAACTAGATGGATGTAATTCTGACTCAATCACCCCTGGTCTCCTTTGACAGCTCTCTGCAGATATGCTTACCTTCTTCCTGCAGTTAATTTTCCAAGAGCCAGGATGGGAAAGACTTTAAATGGAGGACTGTTTGTAGGCTGGACAAGAAAAAGGGCAGGGTCATGAAACCTGAGCACCTTCTGTATCCTTCACTGGATGAAGCCAGGAAATTAAAAAAAAACATGATTGTGTTTGCTATCTGAAAATAAGGCACAATTTATTTGCATTATGTTTATTAAAGATACTGAATTATAAAACTGTAAAAACAAACTTTCAGTAGCCATGGGTCACACGTAACATCAGGAAGGGGATTGAGAAGCCCCATATTGAGCATGGTAGTGATCATGATGACAACAATGAAGAAGAAGAGGAAGAGGAAGAGGAGGAGGAGGAGGAGGAGGAGGAGGAGGAGGAGGAGGAGGAGGAGGGGGAGGAGGAGGAAATAGGATTGGGGCCACTATTTGTGAAAGAGAACCTAGAGATATTTTGTTGTCTCCTCTAGATGTTTATTGTTTTTGGTATATTGTTAGAAATCAGACTATTAATTTCATTCAATAAATTGTGCTTAATGTATCTCCTCCCTTCAAATGTCAGGAAATCAACATGCTAATTTTTAATAATTACAGTCAGAAGAGACTTGGGAATCCCACAAATAATGGGGAGGGGGGCATGAATTGCTTACTTCTGCAATAAGCCATAGTTTGTGCAGCACAACAGAAGTTTACCTAGCGCTTATTCCAACAAATCATTTTATGGGTTACCACCATGTAGCTATCCAGCCATTAGAAATAATATATTTTTTTCTTTTTACTAAATTGAGTAACACAGAGAATATTGTGTGTGGTATTGAGGGAAAACAAAATTATTAACCATGTGTCCATGCTAATCACATTATTGCATGGTCATTCCAAGAACAACTGCAGAGATGTAGCAGACTCAACAATTGTGACTATGTGGAATATTTTTTTGTTATGCTAGAAAAGATTTTTGCCCTGGAAAACTTGTACATTTCCAAAACTACAAACTCCCTTATATATATATATATATATGGTATTCAGCTTTGTTCAGGTATTTTCCCATGTCATTATAGTTGTGCTTTTAAAGTTGTAGCAAAGTTTCGGCAGAATCTCATCTGCCATCATCAGGCTTCTGTATAGTGTTCGTCTGTGTGAACGACGAACACTATACAGAATCCTGATGATGGCAGATGAGATTCTGCCGAAACATTGCTACAACTTTAAAAGCACAACTATTCTTGCCACCGTAGCCATTCAATTCTGCAACAATATATCTATGTGAGGTCTTTTTCTCCAGAAGAGTTAACCAAGAAATTCTACTGATTTTATGTTTACTGTCTTTTAAGTTTTGAAATGGTGGATTATTAAGGTAGATCTAAAAGAAGTGCTAACACTAACTGCTCAACATATGCTTTTTAAACTGATTGATGAAACTAACTGCTGAAATGATTTCTAAAAATCAACTGTCAGAACAAATTGCTGAACTATATCATGGTGAAATAATAATGTCCTGGAAACCTTTTCTAATCAGTTTTAGTCAATCTGCCATATACAGTGTAACTTATGACCTGAAGGGAACATGTCCTAATGTCTCGTTCCAATAATAATTGAGTTTGGATTGCATCTGTTAGTGTTTGGGGACAAACCCCCAAGCAGAGTGCACAGCAGCAGTCAAGCCAGGCAGCCACGTGAGAGAGAGGCTGGGCCCAAGAGCATACACACACTGGAGACAAAAACACTGTTTGTAGCTTTTAAATAGTTATTTAATTCACACAGAGACTAAGAAGTGTCATTCAGTCCATATGTCAATATCCAGTATATCCATCCAGTTACCTAGTCCATTAACTAGTAAATACAATGTCTTTATCTGCTTGTAAATCTTCTCCTCCCGATACCTTTCTCTCAAAGACAACACTGAGTATGCACAGCTCACCAAGTAAACAGTCCTTTTGTTCAGTAGAAAACGGTATCTTGCACAGTAGCCAACAAGCAGACGTCTCATACAGGAGTAAACAGCAGGCAGCAGAGATGAGAGAGACCAGTAGATCAGCGACCAGTAACACCAGGAAACAGTAACCAGGAAGTGTTACGTCTCTCTCACTGCCTATTATTGCAGCTTGCAACCGCACCCATAATTATCCAATTACATTGCAGTTTGGAGCTTAAAGCTGCAAACACTTAGACCTAGGTTTATATATTTATTCACCCAAACTAGTTGGTGTATTCATATACCCAACATTCTCCCCTTTTGGGTGATATAAATATATAATACCTTTACATTCTAAACCCATATTTTTCACAACTCTCTAGGTGCTTTATGGCACCTTGGGCTTTAGTAAAATTATCAGCTACATTGTCCTCCGACATGCAGTACTCCAGCTGTATCATTTTACTCTTTATAGATTGTCTAACGTTTAGATACCTTAAATCTGTATGCTTGCTCCTAGTTTTTACTGCAATATTTGTGGCCATTTGAATTGCTGCCTGATTATCTTCATGTACAATTATAGGATAATTTACAGTTATACCCATATCATTCAACATTTGTTTATACATAATTAACTCAGTACATAATAGTGATAAACAGGAGAATTCTGCCTCCATAGTAGACAAACTTATATGCTGTTGTCTTATTGACTTCCAACCTATTAATGTCTTACCCAGCATTATGGCTGTTCCTGAAGTCGACTTTCTTGTATCTCTTTCTGATGCAAAACTAGCATCTGCATAAGCACTCAGTATGAGATCACCTTTTGGTTCTAAATACAGTGCATGGTGTAATGTTCCTTTAAGATATCTTAAGATTCTCTTCAATGCTATCCAATGACATTGAAGCGGATCATTATTATGTCGTGCCAGCTGATTAATACATAAGCTATATCTGGCCTTGACCAATTGCTAATGTATGATAAGCTACCAATCAAAGATTGATATATGACCTTATCAAACTTGGGACTTTGAGTATCCATTTTGCAAATATCCTGACTCATTGGAGTCTTTGCAGGCTTACAAAGTTCCATCTTATAATCTATTAGCAATTTAGATATCTTATCCTCCTGTGATATCTTAAAACCTTTCTGTGTTTTCACTATATTCAAACCTAGATATTTCTTTATCTCCCCTAATTGCTTGATTTTTATTTTCTTACCTAATGATGCTATTATTTTATTTGCTTCATCATTAGTCTCAGTAATCAAAGCAATATCA